AAGACCAGAGATTCCTCCCCAGAAGCAACTATTTGGATCATCACTCCAACAGGACAATCACTACCACCTTAATTACCAATTCACAACCTTAATACTACTTTTACTCAACTCTCTACAACCCCCAACTTCCAAAATGCAGATCACCAACATCTTCCTCTCTGCCCTGGCTGCTGCCGCCGTCTCCGCTTCCCCCGTCGAGAAGCGTGACTCCAAGTCCATGATGGCCGCCGTTCCCGAGTGGACCATTGAGAAGTTCACTCGCTCTTGCAACGCCGAGGACACCTCTTGCAACTACAGCTTCTCCATCAACACCCACACGGCGGACGCCACTGCCTGCGCCTTCACCACCACCGGTTCTCCCGCCAGCAGAGCTGCCTCCAACGCCAAGTGCGGCGCCTACACCGTTACCTCTGGCTGGAGCGGCCAATTCGGCCCCGATGCCGGTTTCACCACCTTCTCGGTCACCGACCAGAAGCTCATCGTCTGGCCCGCCTACACCGACAAGCAGCTTGTCAACGGCCAGGCTGTCAACCCCGACCAGAGCTACGCTCCCCAGAACCTCCCTTAAATAGGTGAACTTGCTACGGTGGAGAAGGATCAGAGGAGGAAAAATACCATCTCGACAAGAGATTGAAAGTCATGAGATGATGCAAAATACATATTAGTATAATGTAATGACAGAATGCACAAGAAGTTCTAAGATATCGACCTGGCTTTGTGACATCCCGATGCAGACGTTTTGCTGTTCCAATAAGGAACGTCGTCCATCAGATCAATCGTCCGAAATGTTAATCAAGCCTTGTCATCTGACAGACGGTCTCAGAGGAAACATAGATAAGGTTTTTCAGCTGATGTCAACTTGAAACTCGTTAATCTTGTTTTGCGGGGATAGCTCGCGCACTTCGTGCCCGACGTCCGCGACTGGTCGAGAGTTCACAAATTACAACGTCCCATGTATTAAACGGTCTGGCAGGTCGCAACAACTACAGGGGGACTTGCAGCCATCATTCTGTAATTTAATATGTACACTGGGTTGGAGTACCACGTGAGAGAAGTTGTACTACTTCTTCAATCACAACATGGGAGGCTACCCTTATTGGACCACCGTTATTCGGAAACCTCACAAGGTCTACATGTAGGCCAAGGCGAAAGTCTATCATAGCATCCCTATGCTCTTCATACCAAGGATGTAGTAACTAGTCTGTCCAATGAGTTTGCGCCTGGTCAGAAAACAGAAACTCCCATACAAAAGTGGAAATTTGCTCAAGGCATAAGTCGGTCTAATGAAGTTGGCAAAGTTCGATCTGGCGAATTTGGGGAGTCTAACAACTCAATGCGGTTGTGAAAAACAGTCTACATAGAATACAAGGCCGTCAAAATGTAAAGGAATGTGGTTGTATTATGTGTAGCCAAAACGCCGTGAAAATAAATCCCTAAAAGACGCCAAAATGCTGATCTAACCCTCTGATACAATGCAATCTATACCATCATCTAACAAACTACCGCCTGTACCACAACTCCTGGATCATTTATATGCTTAGTTGGAAGGGCAGTAACCAATGGTGCAGGCGTCAGCCTTGCAGCATCCACGGAAGCCATTGCTGCAAGATTGGAAGAAGCCAGTTCCAGGGGCACACACAGTCGGGTCGGTGTTCTTGGGCTCAGCGTGCCACTCGTGGTTAGCCTCAGGCGTAGGAGTAGGCGAAGCCTTGGGAGCAATCGTAACGGTCTCGAAGCTCTTGACGTCCGGGCAGTAGCCAATGGTGCAGGCATCCTGCTTGCAACATCCGCGGAAGCCGTTGCTGCAGGACTGAAAGAAGCCAGTGCCAGGGGCGCAGACGGTCTCGTCCCGCTTTACGGTAGGCTCGCGGACCTTCAGGTCAGGGCAGTAGCCAATGGTGCAAGCATCGGCCTTGCAGCATCCACGGAAGCCATTCGAGCAAGACTGGAAGAAGCCAGTGCCAGGCTTGCAAACAGTCGGATCGGAGACGGTCTCGGGCTGCCAGTGAGCCTTGTGTTCGGGAACGGGGGTCGCCGTAACAATAGCGGTCTTGGATGAGGTGACGGTCACATTGGGGCAGTACCCAATGGTGCAAGCATCGGCTTTGCAGCAGCCCCTGAAGCCATTGCTGCAGGATTGGAAGAAACCGGTGCCCGGAGCGCAGACGGTAGGATCAGTGTTTGACTCGGTAGGAGATGCCGTAGTGATACCGACGATGCCGGCGAAGACGGTAAAGAAGATGGAGGAATGCATGGTGAGGATGATAGGATGGATAGTAGATCAAGCAGGGTTCGACTAGTTAAGTTTGTGAAGAGAATGATCGGATGTTTGTACGAGTTTCTTAAAGAGATAGATCCACAAAGGAAATAAGGAAATCACAAAGGAGAAGAGAAAAGGAAATTTGGTGAGGTTGTTGAGTTGTCCTGAGTAGCTGAATTGATGATGAGAAGAGAAGATAGGATCATGATGGAGAAGACGCGCCCAATTTATAAACCTCATTCTGGAATGAGGACGTAGGATTCCATAATCGGGAACTATTCTCCGCATATTTCCAGATCCGACTACGTGGAGGTAGGTCACACTGCGGACCGCAAGCAATGTTGAGGAGACAGCACACTTGTCTGTGGTGGGCTATGGCTGTGAGGCCTTCTATTCCAGGGCTGTGATCTAGTGTAAGCCAACATACTTCAAGGACCTGTGTTCGACCGCGGAAACTACACTTCCCCCGGCCGGGACTCATAATGCCGGCATCCTCCGTGGAGGCTGATGAACAGCCGTACACATTGTGTGTCGGCAGTAGGCTAATAATGGGGTTGCTGCGTGACCTGCATACTCTGTTGTCTCTCTCAGTCGTTCCCTCCGGAATAGACGAGAAGGATCCAATGGGAAGCTTGGAAACTCGCCCAAAGCTGTATGCAAGGCGTTGCAGCTCTGATCAAACAGGCGCGATAAGCGTAGCTGGGCTGAGCTGCAGGTTCTGGCTGAGTTTCTGGGGCTGAGACGCGGGAAGGACTGGTATAGAGCCTTGGTAACCAGACTGCATTAGGTCTACAGGAAGAACTCGAGCGCCTCGGAGGCGGCGGCGCAGTCTCGCTGTCAGACGCCACAGACTGGAGGAGTACCCGGGCTCCGATTCCGAGCCTCGTGGCTGGTCGCCTGCCGGAAGCTGCAGTGGAAGGGTGGTAAGCTTATTCTTGGCAACAAGAATTTTGAGGGGAGTTGCAGGTTATCGAGACTTTAGTGGTAGGCCACTTAAAGGCTATGTGTGGTCAGATGGCGAAGAAGCGTGGTGGAGGCTTATTCGATGTCCGTGATTTCTGCAAAAGCCAATTGGGGCTATCGTGCGTTGTTTATGGTCCCTTAGCTATATAGCGAACCCTGTGTATTCTCGAAATAGCCTTCATTGATTCTCAAAACGAGACTGCTATCGCAGGATGCAAGCTGAATGCAGCCGACGAGCAATATGAAAACGAGCCGTGAGGCCCTCATTTCTCCCGTCTCTGATGCTTCAACCGCAGAGTGGGCTGTGCGACGCGCTCGTACCAGGCATAAATCAAAAGGTACTGGAGCGTGCACAATATTAATAAGTTGGTTATCAGCTCCGACACGTTGCAGCGTCGTACGAGTACAACATGTTTGCGTGTCGTTCTGTGGTCATCGGCCACTACGAGTCAGCGCCGATGGGGACCAGACTTTAATTTCACTGATAATCTTCAACTACGAGGCCTCGTGGGGGGGTTTGCTCCAGCACTCCGTAAAAGGGTTCCACGATGGAGTCGCACACATTAGAAAAATGGTTGCGCGATAAACGGAGAATTTTCCCCGATTCCTGAGGGTCCATCAACCACCGATCCTGGATCTTGATCTGTCCGAAATGCATCCCCCTTCCGCCTGAACCAACGGGTCCTCGCCGTGACGGCGCGGTGCTTGGCGACGGTCCCGGGAGGACGGCAGCTAGAAGCTTGTCTCGTCCGGAAGCAGAAGGCCGCCGTAAAGTGCGTGTGTTTGATGCTACCATATCGCAATTTAATCGAGGAGCTAGACTGCCGTCAGGGTTAGGCTGCCGGCAGTGGGATGCCGTTCTTTTGTTGGGACATGACGCCGGTCAGATAATCTGCTTGAACCGGTCGGCATCGTCTTCAATGCCGTGATCTCCAAATAGTCGGGGTGTCGCTGGGCAGATGGACAGACAAGAAATTGAAAATGGCGACGTGATCTCCTCTTTAATCTTTCCGTGGCCGATGACTTCGACAGTGTGTGCCAAACAAATGGGATTTTGTTTGACCAAGACGGGACGAACTGCAACAATGACGCGGCTCATCGGCATCGTTTCTTTTCGTTTCACCACTCTTCCCCAGCAGGCCCCTGCAAACTCTCCAACAAGTTGTTAGTGGAAAGATTGAACTCGCGAATTACAAGGCGTGCTGCTGAGTAGGGATGCTGATGTTAAGTCACCTGGCAGGCAACACCCCTGACAGGGGAGCCGGGATGAGGAGAATCGTCTGGTGGCCAGGCTCCGATAGCGCCACTCATTACTTTATTCCATACCTGTAGCCCCCGTTTGGGACGGCATTTGGGCAGGCGAGCGCGCAGCATGCCCACTGTCTGTGTTGTTGGTTTAATTAACACGGCGCTAGAATCCCGGCTGTAGACCAGTTTGTGCCATTTGTGGTCAGCCTGCGAGTTTCAACACCGCTCTCCGTACAATTTCCCACAAGCGATGGTCGGATCGTGGGGACTGTGGGCGGAAATGGGACGCGGCGCTGGTTCTGGAAAAGAATGCCCGAGCTAAGATCGGTGGTCTGTTGGACGGCTTGGGTTGGAGGAGGGGAAAAGGAGGAAGCGGAAGGAGATGCAATTCCATATTTATCATCCCGAAGAGTCCCTCTCGTACTCTGAAGGCAACTGTCGCCTGTTTTGCTGTTCTTGTCACTCCCTTTCCCATTCCGTGTCTCTCATTTTTTGACTGTTAGTCGTTCATTCGTTCACAAAATCCAACATGAAGTTCGCTTCCCTTTCACTCCTTGCGCTGGGCGCTATTCTCCCGGGCTGGGCCGCCGCCGAGCTCTCCGGTACCGTCGGGCCATCCACCACGCGTGAAGCCAAGGCGGCCAAGAAGACATGCAACATCACCAGCTACGGTGCCAAGACCGGTGCCACTGGTGACATCGGCGCCGCCCTTAAGGCTGCCTGGGATGCCTGCAAGACTGGCGGAGAGATCCTGATTCCGTCCGGAGAATGGGGCATGAGCACTTGGCAGACGCTCTCTGGCGGTTCTGGTGTCTCGATCAACCTCGAGGGTACCATCTACCGCACCGGCACTGCTGGTGGCCACATGATCATTGTTCAGAAGTCCACCGATGTTGAGTTCTACAGCGGCAACTCCAAGGGTGCCATGCAGGGCTATGGATACGAATTCCACAAGCGTAAGTTGTCAGCATTCTACATTCACGTAGTCGCGAAGCTAACAAAGATGCAGAGGGCAAGGGTGTCTATGGGTGAGACCAATGATTCTACAACATGCGTTCGTGCAATTCTAACCACGATTTTGCAGACCCCGTCTCCTGCGCTTCGTTTCCGTCACCAACTTCAGCGTGCATGACATTGCTCTCGTTGACTCGCCCGCTTTCCACATCATCTTGGACACCTGCACGAACGGCGAGGTCTACAACATGATCATCCGCGGAGGAAACGAGGGTGGCCTTGACGGTCTCGACTTGATGGCCTGCACCAACGTCCACGTTCACGATGTCGAGGTTACCAACAAGGACGAGTGGTAAGTTCACTTTTCTTCTCCGTGAGACCGGTTTGGCTGAACCCAGCCACTGTCTCGCGGTGCCTGTCGCATTTGCCAGACGGGACCGGAAGCCGGGCTCTAGGCTCCGTGACCGTTCCCCTTGGGCAGAATTTTGGCTAACAAGTCTTCAGCGTCACTGTCAAGAACAAGTCCAGCCACATTCTTATCGAGGACATCTTCTGCAACTGGTCTGGTGGCTGTGCTATCGGCTCCCTCGGCGCCGACACCGCCATCTCCGACATCACCTACCGCAACATCTACACCGTCAACTCCAACCAGATGATGATGATCAAGAACAACGGCGGTGATGGTGTCTTCCAGAACTCTCGCTTCGAGAACTTCATCGGTCACGGCAACGCCTACTCCCTCAAGATCGACTCTGCCTGGGCCGGACAGAGCAAGGTCTCGGGTAGCGGTGTCGAGTACAAGAACCTGACCTTCTCCAATTGGAAGGGTACTGCTGCCAACGGTGCTTCTCGCGGCCCCGTTGTCGTTCTTTGCGCTGCTGCCGTCCCCTGCGAGAACATCGACGTCTCCAGCATCAACATCTGGACCGATGCTGGCTCGTCCATTGTCGACAAGTGCGAGAACGCCTTCGGCTCTGGACACTGCCTGCGCACCGGCTCCGGCACCTACACCAGCACCGCTACCACCAAGACTGTTGCCAACTACGAGGCCACCACTATGCCTGGCCAGATCACTGCCGGTCTTGGTCTCTCGACCTCCATCGACATCCCTGCTCTGCCCACCACCTTCTTCCCTGGCCAGAAGCCCAAGACCGCGCTGCTGGGCTCTGCCTGAGCGGACCTGTCGCCAGAACAGACACCAGTCACACTGCTCACCTGTTGAGCTGATCATATTTTCCTGTACATACTTTATTGGAAAAGCCAAGCTGCACATATCATTCGGGAAATGATCATAATGTTCTCCGCAGATCTATAGTCTATGATTGATTTGTCGTTCCCCGTCCCGTGATGATTCATCAACAGCCTCAGGTAGCTTCGCTAGGTGTCTATTGGCTGACTTGAGACTGAATCCAGCTATCGTCCAAGCCACCCATCGTAACCGTCTTCGTCCCCTTCACCCCCACGAACTCTTTCAGCTTCCCTCTTAGCAAGTAGGTAGGGGTACAACTCCAGGCATGGCAGAAACTGTTATTTCTGACATCGCCATAAGGACTCGCCTTTGGGTCTGCCGGGTTGTAACACTCCCAAAACGTATCAGCGCCAGCCTTGACCATTCCTCCCCAATAACCTGTCATGACCTCAATACACTTATCATAACATCCCACGGTTGCAAGAGCATCGCATACGTGATGCCATAGATAGGGTGTGAGAGGCTTGAGAGCTTCAGGATGAGAAAGGGTATTGAGCAGCGCAGTCTGCGCCACATCCTTTGGGAAGGCCTCGGCCAGGACCAGCCATGATGCTGAGGCATAGCTCACTTGACCCTTGGGGCCAGATACGAAGACGTTTTCTGGTGAAAGAAAAGCCTTCGCTGCTTCGGTCATTTGGGCCACGAGATCCGCAAAAGGGGCTTCCTTGCCGAGGACCTTGGCCAGAGCATTCGCCGCCTTGAGGCAGTACAGGAGGACGCCATGCTCGCCCGCGCTATGTTCCAAGCCGGGTTGCCAATCGAGGAACTTCCATCCCTCACCCTTCGTTTCATCAAAGGCATGAGTTTCAGGGTCCAGGTGTGATATCGCTCGTTTGACGCATCCAAGCACGGTCGGCCAGAGGTCTTGGCCGGCAGCGGTGTCACCCGATGCCACCACATAGTCGTTGACAATGGCCGCAAAGAGAGCGTCGTAGTCGACGATGTAATCAGATGAAGGCGTCAGTTGCGGCTGCTCAAAGATGCATGCAGGCACCGAGTCATCTTCGCGAACCACGGCCGCAAACTGGAAGATGCAGCGCTTGACGAGGTTGAAGTCTTTAAAAGTGCTGTAGTTTGCGAGAGCTTGTAACCGAAGGTCTCCGCTCCATAGTCGGCGATCGCGACGAGGGCCATCTTCGAAGACTGTCTGCATGCAGTCTCTCAAGGTTGAGATGCTGACATGGTCGATATTCCGGAGAAGCTCATCACCAAACTCCAGCGCCTCCAGTGGATGCATCTGGCTGATGGCGCTCACACACTCGCACTTGATATCCGAAAAGACAACCTTGAACAGTGGTGATGTGTCGATGACTTCAACTCGGAGAAATCGAAAGGAGTAGCGGCGGCGCAATGTCACTAGCTCAGGGCACATGTCGATGTTGATGACCTCGTCCGGGAGCCAGCTGGTACTGATCCAAGTCTTGACGTTGTCCATGCCCAAGGTCACGTCAAACGGAGACTCGCCAAAGGTAAGGCGCAACCTGCAAGGTGCGTCCATGTGCGATCCTCGGGACTCGAGACGAAACGATATGTATCCCACCATGTGGACGCCGAAGTCGAGAATGAATTCATCTCCCTTTCCCCAAGTCTTGGACGGAAGCTGATCGACAGTGCATTCCGCCGGCGCAGCACGAACACCAAAGTACTGGCTGTCGTCTTTGTCAAACTTGATAACTTGCTGAGGTGTGCGCGCCCATCTGTGCAATTCTGGGCAGAGGTCGTTGGCGACCTTTTCGAAGTCCCGGTTCCATCTCGTCGGGAGAACGCTCGCGACCATGCCCTCGGGTGCATCAGACATGATGGTCTGAGGTTGAATGTTGTACTATTTTAGCTTGACAGGAATGGCGTGCTGGAGGTCCTGGTTCGGTTGACAAGCCCGTCGGTGTGGTCTGGAATTACAGCTGAAAGCATGGGTTGAAGCTGGTTAATGTTGTTTTGGACACGCCACGATCACAAACAGCATTCGTAAACGCTTCGGTGTGACATCCTCCCGAGAAAGGCAGTCAAACCCACTTGCTCGGCAAAGCAAAAAGTGTGGCTGCCGCTTCCGATTGCTCAATTGGGCCCGCCTCGTCATCGCGAAGTCGGCGTGGGGAGACCCTAGTCATGGTTTGCGGGGAAGAATGCGGTGACCTCGGACATTGTGAATCAAGCCGAGTCTGGAACATCGATCACGCGGACACCAAGGGTTCAACTGCGGTAAAACTGCGGTGAAGTCGCGGTAAGACTAGGTTATTTTGAGGTGTTTACAGAATTAGTTCAGGTTTTCTTGCCAATTTTTCTCCTTGGCGTGGTCATTAGATCGAAGCCAGTCTTCAGATGAAAGAGGGTCTTTAGACATTAGCATGATGCCGAGCTGCCGTCACACCATTGGCTTCCCAGCCATCATCAGTTGCTGTAAATGATCTGCACCTGGTTTTATTGCGCTTGACTTGTCTTCAATTTGACACCAAATGTCTTCAAGGCGCGATTAGAACTCTTTTACGCACTACCATCGCGTTCAGAAACCTGGTAAAGAAGCGCGCTTTTCGTTCTTGAGCAACAGCTTGCCAAGGTAACATGAACGACAGCCAACTTTCCGGGTCGAACCCCGCGTCCTCGTGGTATTCTCCACAAAGAACCGTCGGCAATTGCACGCTACTGTGGGGTCCCCAGATTAGGACCGAGAAGACGGGTCATTGACACGTCTGGTCCAGGCCCTGCCGCTGTTGACGACCAGGGCCACGGCCAAGTTCATCTCAAGGATCCTCACAACACCCCTAAATAGGTTAGACAACATCAAAAGATAGCCAACCACGAGTCCCAAGGCTTTTCTTCGGAAGAGATACTGACTCAGGCAGACCCAACTACTAGGCATGTCGTTGACTCTCTTCCTTGGTAAACATATTGCCGGCCATAATTCCGCGCCATCACTGAAACGCACTGGCATCATGCGAACACAGTCCGACATGGGCAGAAACCGGCCCCTCCCTCGCAGGAAGTCAGCCATCTGGTTGGGTTTTCAGGCCACTCTTGGGCTGGAGGCGTTCAAGCTCGGCCCAGGAGTCGGGGCTGAAGTCTTCTTTCGAGGAAGGGCCCCAGATAACGGGCTCTGTTCGGCCCATCATTCGAACGACTTTGATCCGAGGAAGTGCCTACGACTTCCTCGACGAGATCCAGTTGCAAATCGTTCCTGAGAATAAGAACCGGGGCCATTCCCGGAAAACCGTAACTTCGGACCCAGTTCCCCAGACTCGTCTCCTCAGCTTCCCCAGATCGTCGGGGCCAACCCCAGAATCCTTCAGCAGTTTAAACTTCTTTGCCCGGGGAATCACCGCACCAATTACCTTAGCCAGCCATGGCCGAACACAACCTTGAAGCGTCGAAGACGCCCATTGTCGCCGAAAAGGACGATATCGCCGCGGCCAAGGGCGAACACGTCGAGGAGATCGGCCACGCTGCCACCGCCGAGGATCACGTTGAAACTCCTTTGCAGGCCATCAAGAATCAGCCTTGGGCGTTTTTGTGGTGTGTCTACGCCATTTACGTTCTTATCCTCACCAGTTTCGACAATCAGGCGGGCGGCAGCATTCTGAGTATTCCAGAGTTCCGCAAAGATTTCGGCAACGAATTCAATGGCGACTATGTACTTCCCGCGAAATGGCAATCTGCCTACAGTGGAGCGCCGGTGGCATCGTGAGTGACACCAATACACGATTATGATAGATCAATTGCTGACAACTTTATTCACAGTGCCGTCATTGGATCCATTGGTGCTGGCTATATTACAGATATCATCGGCCGAAAGTGGACATATTTCATCAGCTACATCTTCATCTTCGTCGGAATCACACTTGAGACTACCAGCACGACCAATGAAATGTTCTTTGCCGGAAAGTTCATCGCAGGTTTTCCCATTGGCGCCTTCATTACCGTCAGCATGACGTACATCGGCGAGATCGCGCCTCTGGCTCTTCGTGGTATCTTGACCGCCGCCGCTGCCATCGCTTTCACGATCGGTCCTTTCATCGTCTCCCTCATTGTCAACGCGACAGGTGCTCGCCAGGACCGCTGGGCCTACCGAGCTATCTTCGTTTCTCAATATGGTGTGAGTGGCTTGGGAATTCTGGTATTGGCCTTCATGCCAGAGTCTCCGTGGTGGCTGGTGAATAAGGGCAAAATGCAGAAGGCTATGAAGTCCCTGAGCCGTCTTGGCTACGACGCAGTCCAAGCCGAGAAACGTCTCTCCATTATCACGACCACTTTGGCAGAGGTGCGCAAGGAGACTGAAGGCGCAAGTTATGCCGAGTGTTTCCGCAAGTCAAACTTGCGTCGCACTGTCATCTCCGTCATGCCCCTGAGCATCCAGGCCCTGTGTGGAGTCTACTTCGTGTCCGCCTACAGCACATACTACCAACAACTGGCTGGATACAGCACCCAGGAGAGTTTCATTCTGGCGATTGTCCAACAAGTCATTTCGATGCTTGGCAATGTTGTTTCCTGGTTCCTCATCGACAGAGTCGGCCGTCGAGGGCTGACTCTCTACGGCATGTGTATCCTCACGACCCTGCTCATGATTACTGGTGGTCTTGCTGTCGCTGGCACTCCTGGTGCCGTGAAGGGAACAGTTGCGCTACTCCTGATCTACTGCTTCTTCTACAACGTCACCATTGGCGCGACTGCCTACTCTTTGTTGACCGAGGTTGCCACATCTCGACTTCGTGCGAAGACTGCCTCTATGGCCTTGGCTCTTCAGAATGCTCTCTTCGTAAGTGTTATTCCTCTGAACCTTCTTCAATTGCCTTTGACTAACAGCTATGATTCTAGACTATGTGGGCTTTCGTCATTCCCTTCCTGTGAGTGGACCTGTGAGAGACCTTTGCTATGGCCGAGCACTAACATGAATGCCAGTTTCAACCCCGACCAAGCGAACTTGCAGGCGAAGGTTGCTTTCATTTTTGGTGCCTTCTCCATTCTGTCCACAGTTTACCTCTTCTTGTATCAACCTGAGGTTGCCGGCAGATCTTACGAGGAGCTTGATGAGATGTTCATGAAAAAGGTCCCTGCACGCGACTTCAAGAGCTACAAGACGGAGGTTGAGGAGAAGAGCGAGCGCGCTGTTGCTGAGAACATTTGATACCCACATTGCGGGACGTTGGTCCCAAGGAAGAGCTGATATGATCTTTTTACTGGAATGAAGCATGCTCAACGATTGAAACAATGACAAGGCCACTTAATTCTTCTTGATGCTGCAGAATAACTGAGCCTGTGTTAAAGCACTCCCTAAGGCATGGTTCCCAATTTCATGACGTGATCAAGAGGATTTGCACGACCCGAAACATGCGAAGCATGTGCCCAACTTGCCTAAAGAGTTCGTCGGACTGAATCTTAGCCTCATATTCACGCGCGAGACATCGAGTCACATGTCATTTGAACGCCTTGTGTACACCCTTTAGCTTTTCATAGTGTGAAGACTATGGTGTAGTGCTCTGTCGTGCGCCAATATCGACATCTCTTACACCTGGCGCTCTTCGTCTGACAACGACACAATGACCGACCATTTCAAGTAGGGTTTATTCTATCTCATATAATTTCGACGTGCGATCGCATCACGACGGTGTCTTACCGCCCGTAATGGGACTTCGGTGATAGTCAGGGATGCACAGCTCAAGGGGGCGACGTGCTGCAGAGGATGCAGCTAATCGGCGCCATTCAATTGGTCTATTCTCCGCCAGTCTCATGAGGAAATGGGTGGATTGAGCGGTTAGTGTACAGATGGAATGCCGTATGTTATAATTCTGTCGAGTTTGCTGGCGAGAGAAAAACATGCGGAACAGTGGTTCAATCCAGACGTCGGTCGGATCTTATCGATCATCAATAGTTGCGAGAAGCGGGTTCTCCAGGCCGGCATGTTGCAGGAGTAAGACAAAAAAGCACGTGGCATACGAAGATCAACGTCGCCTGCTTGGAGAAAAACTGCTAACGAATGATAAGGTTGTCGTCTGCGGTAGGGTTATGTTTGCAAAGAACGAGGGTGAGAGACGTGCATCCAGGAACCAGGACCACGCTCAAAAATGTGCGCCCGCGAGCTGCCGGCGCGACGCCGGCAAGCGGAGTCGCCCAGCCGGCCGAGAAGAAGGGCAAAGCCGCTGGCACCCAGCCGTCCTGCTGGATCTGGGGGCGGATACCACACACGTGGTAGCGTCTCTGGATCCGCGACTGGCATCCGAATGAACCGGCTTATCAGAGCTTCCAAGAAATGCTGTTCTGTCGAGGGCCTTGTCCGAACTTCTCGGCTGCGACTATTGTCTGGACGTCAATCCAATTGCGACCCATTTAGAGCATTAGATACGAAAGCTTCCACGTCGAGAACCAGATGTGTGGCTGTTGCGCGCGCAGATTCGACAAATGCTTGACGATGTTCACCGGAGACCGACGGAGACCATCGAGGACCCGGAATAGAGGATCGGAGCTCACCTACAGCTTATCACCCTGATCCCTTCACGTGCCTTCAATTACGCAGCGGTTTTACGCTGGGGGCTCACCAACGGACCCGTCCAAGAAGCGGAGCCGGCCGAAGCTGAAATGCAGAGATACCTGGGGGAGTGTGGGAAAGGCATGGCACTTTTGTCTCTAGCCAATCTGTAGGCCGTAAGCGCACGCGGTCATTGACTGAATTGGGCAGAGATACGACGCAAGTCGCAACTTGTCAAAAGCCCGGGAACCTTAGCACTGATCGCTTCCCCGGGGTGGCGTGGGGCCTGCCACACCTTTTGCGCGTCAGTCTGTCCTGTATCCTGCGCGTATGGCATCCTAGCGCGAGTTCCTAGGGCCGGGTTGGGGAGGTGGCAGCTGGAGATGCTGGGATTGCGGATGGCAGATGCAACAAGGTGCCTCTGTTGGTGCTTCTGCTTCAATGTCCGTTCCTCTCTTGGATAGCCTGCTAGGAGATGCGTGACAACTGATAGTCTCTGGTGAACCCCCGTTCATGCTTATGTTCTCGGCCCCAGCCGACAGAGCAGCTAAGGCCAAAATGAGGGGAGAAGGATGATGCTAAGGGGAGGGACCGTGGTTGTTATCATCGTGGACTGCAAATGAGACAAGGACTCGTGGAGGTTCAGTTGTTACGCGTTGCCCGGACACTCCCTGGAATTGGCGTCGCTTGCGCTGAGTGATTGATGACGGCGACTGTTCGCTAATCTAAAGCGTTCATCTCGTCTCAATGCCAGCTTGACACCCGACGGGGTCCCCCGAATTACGAGTCACTCGCAGGTTCAGGCGGCTTCAGTCCGCACCTACAATTTGATATTACAGGGCCCAAGGACGTCTTACCGCCGATCTCACCACCCTTCCCGCTGGCTATCAGCCGCCAGACATGCTGGGCGTGAGACCCCTCGTAAGCTTCGCGGAACATGTCCTGCGTTGCTATGCTCAGCCGGTATCTAGTCTGAAGAAGGTCGAAAACAGAACAGACAATCGGGAGAGTATGTCAGCACACAGTGGCCAGAACAGCAGATGAGCAACTGACACTGAACGAGACAACCCATATCAGCATCCGCGACGTCTTGTTCTCCCCTCCCTTCCCCTCGATCCATGGCGTTTGTGGCGCCGGGGCGGCTGAAGCAGCTATCTCCAACCAGTCCCAATTCTCCGCATGCCTCCGTGCTCCAGCAGCGGTTTGGGGGTCGCGGTGCACTGGCGTGTCTTGGGGTCTCGGCCCCTAGCAGCCATCAGAATGTTTAGTCGCGCCCAGGAGAACGGAAGGATCTGCCACACCTTCATCGTACAGGACAAGGCCGGTGTTGAGCCTATCAGGAGGCTTTCAATCATCGTTGCCCGACACCGTCCCCGGCTGCCATTGCCACACGGTCATTGGCTGTCCCGGAAGCCAAGCTGGTTCTGGCGTGTACCTGTGTCTCTCTCCTGGGCTCTCACGCTCTCTCTCTCTTCCTGTGTGCCTGTTTGTGAGACGCCGATAATGAGTTGGCTCACCCGGTCACCGAAGACAGAAGCAGACCCGGAACCATGATTCATGCGTGTCGTCCGACTGGATACAGCATCTCTTGTCGTCCCCAAGGCAGTCCAATCCAACGCCGGGCAAAGACAAATGCAAACGAACCCGGCACCACAAGCTAGCCCTGCCCTTTTGCTAGCCGGCCTGCTCGCCCAGCCTTCCAACGGCCAGTCTCGTCTCTCCAATCTCAGTCGACCCCACTGCGCGTCTCCATCGTTCCATCAACCTTCCAGAAGCGGAAGCGCGCCGTTGGCTTTGCCACTCACATTGCAGAGCTAGTTGGCTTGGTCCGGGTCTGCGCGAAGTCTGTGCTAGTGTTCGGTCCTCCCACAATCCTTGTCATGCCACCCGCACGCCGCAATAAAAAATTCGATCCTTATCGCGGTCGAGGGACCCGAGTCCTGGGGTCCAGCGCAAAACTTTTGTTGGACCTGGCATCTCTAATCGCGACTGATTCGGCGGGAGGAACACCGCTGTGTGTGAATCAGTTTCTTCAACAGACTCATCTCTTCGCAACAGATGAAGAAGAGGAATACTCTCAACAGCACCAAAGAGACTTGGCAACTTGGGATTGAAGAGGGGAATCGTTTGACAAGAATTGAAAAACATGACCGATGGTGGCAACCCCCCCTCCGAGATATCGTCTTACCATGACTGAAAGTCCCCTCCTCGACCTCCATCTCTCCCTAGCTACCCTGGCCGTCTTGTATCTCTTGTACCACCATTGTTTGTCAATCCCACACCCGTCAACCCTGTCACCCATCCAACCCGCATCCCTCGTTGGCTGCGCGCTCTTCAGAATCTGGGTCAATCCACCGAAATGGGCACCGAACCACATGAGGGCTCTTCCCTTCCTCCACACCCAGGCGGGCAAGCGACCGACGGGGGAGAAAGAGGGCGACGAGTGAGCAGCCAGCATCGTCCTGAACACCTGCCGCTGCGCGCGCAGCTCGATCAAATGGCGGCGAACTCCAATGGATCCTTGCTCGTCCATCCCCATCCCACACTCCCAAATGCCTGCCCGGCCTGGGCCTGGCTCCCGGGTTGCTGATAAGCTACCGTAGCACTCCGTAGTAAGTTGAGGATCGTTGCGTCCTAGCCTAGCCTCGGCACTACTCTCGGATTTCTTGATCATCGCACTGGGAATTTTTAAAAAGGGCTTCCCCTCAGGACGCGTCAATCCAGGGTCCTGTCTCGTGGTTCTCGTCTGTTTCGTGCAGCAAGCTCTCCAGTGCCCCCCTCCGCCTCTTCATGAGCAGCAGAGCCGTCTGATCGGTGGTCGTTTCTTTTCAACAATACCCAGGCAAGCCCTCAACTGTGCTAGCCCGTGGTCCACCACCCTCTGCCACTACCGATACTCGTTGAAAAATTTCTCTTGATTTTTTAACCGAGTAGGCCAAGCCAAGCGCAAACGCTTGCCGTCAAGTCCCTCCCCCTCCGTCCAGTCTCTTGTCAAAGCCACCGGTGCGACCCGAAACCCTATTCCGCAGCTATGGCTTCCCAAGTCACCGAGGTCAACAAGACCGCCTCCGACAGCAACAGCCCGGCCGTCACCCCGACCCGTCGCAACTCGGACCCGGCGCTGGAAATCTCCAACCAGCACCAGCATCACCACCTTCACCACTCCGACCGCGTTGATGCCAAGGGCCACGCCGACAACGTCGTCTACACCCGCACCGGCGATTCGACCGTCCCCCACCAGAGCCATCTTCACGACCACAGTGAGCCGCACGACATCGAGAAGGGCAACCCGGACAAGCTGAGCGGCCCTCCCGACTACGATGGTGAGAAGGGTGGTGTCATGACGCCCTCCGAGCAGGAGGGTGCTCAGAAGCCTTCCAGAGTTCGCACTTTCTACAAGAAGAACAAGTGGATTGCCCACCTTTTCATCTTCTGCCTCTTCACCGGCTGGTGGATTGCCTCGCTCGTCCTGCACCGCAACGACAAGAACTGGGTTGTGCCTTTCCTCGTCTGGCTCGCTATCATGCTCCGTCTGGTCTTCTTCTACGTCCCCAGCTCCTACGTCTCGCGCCCCATCAAGTTCGTCTGGCAACATTCGGCCGGCCTCGTCCACAGCGTCATCCCCGAGAAGTTCCGCACCATTGCCGGCGCCGCCTTGACCATTGCCGTCATTCTTGTCGGCTCTTTCGTCTCCGAGGAGTCTGCCGATAACACGCGCGAGAACCGCGCCGTTTCCATCTTCGGTCTGATCGTCATCCTGTTCTGCTTCTGGGCCACCTCCGCCAACCGTAAGCGCGTCAACTGGCGCCCGGTTATTGGCGGCATGCTGTCGCAGTACATCATTGCGCTCTTCGTGCTCCGCACCGGCGTTGGCTACGACATCTTCAAGTTCATCGCGGACCGTGCCGGCGACTTGCTCGGCTTTGCCAACCAGGGAACTGCTTTCCTGACTGCCGACAGCGTCATTGACCTCCACTGGTTCATCAGCGGTGTCATTCCCCCCATTATCTTCTTCGTCGCCATTGTCCAGGTCCTCTACTACATTGGCTTCCTGCAGTGGTTCATCGGCAAGTTCGCTACCTTCGTCTTCTGGGCTCTGCACGTGTCCGGTGCCGAGGCCGTCGTCGCTGCTGCCACTCCCTTCATCGGCCAGGGCGAGTCTGCCATGTTGGTCCGTCCTTTCGTCCCCCACATGACCAAGGCCGAGATTCACCAGATCATGACTTGCGGTTTCGCTACCATCTCTGGTTCCACCCTCGTCGCTTACATCAACCTGGGTCTTAACGCCCAGGCCATGGTGTCGTCCTGTGTCATGTCCATCCCCGCCTCCATCGCCATCTCCAAGCTTCGCTACCCCGAGAACGAGGAGACCTTGACCGCCGGAAAGGTCGTGATCCCCGATGACGACGAGCACGAGGCCAAGAACGCCATCCACGCCTTTGCCAACGGTGCCTGGCTCGGTATCAAGATCGCCGGTACCATTGTTGCCTCGATTCTCTGCATTCTGGCCTTCATTGGTCTCGTCGACGGTCTGCTGAGCTGGTGGGGACGTTACATCAACATCAACGACCCTCTTACCCTTAACCTCATCACCGGCTACATCTTCTACCCCGTTGCCTTCCTCTTGGGTGTTCCTCGCAACGGCGACCTTCTCAAGGTTGCCCGCCTGATCGCCATGAAGGTCATCGCTGTAAGTGAAATCCCCAAGACTGGCGTCTTCACTTTTTCAGGTACTGATCTCTCTTTTCACAGAACGAGTACGTTGCTTTCTCCGCGATGAAGGAGGCTCCCTACAACGACCTTTCTCCCCGCTCTCAGCTCATTGCCACCTACGCCCTCTGCGGTTTCGGTAACATTGGTTCCCTGGGTATCCAGATCGGTATCCTGGGCCAGCTTGCTCCCAGCCGTGGTGGTGATGTCAGTGCCATGGCCATCTCTGCCCTGATCTCCGGTGTCATGTCGACCTTGACTTCCGCCGCCGTCGCCGGCCTTGTCATCACCCACCAGACGACCAACCTGGTCTAAGGTGCGAGCCGGAATGGGCCGGTGATGTGAGGCGCGGCATCGTTGCCGGCCGTCGTCAATGAGTGAAAAAATGAGTTAAAGAAAAAAGATGAAAGATGAAAGATGTGTACGATGTTGATGAGGCGCTGCTGCGTCAGAAATAAGAGAAAGAACCACACAGTGGTAGATAATAATACCCGGCTTTTGTCAGCGAGCTGACCAATATACCTACTTCTCACTTCCGAGTCTCTGAAAACATGCTGGTAAAGGAACCCCGAAAGGGCCCTCCGAGGGTCTTATACCGAGAGGGAAATCGTGGTGTGACGACCCAAGACGTGATCCAAGGCTGTCTTGCGCGATCGGTAGGCGGGCTTCTTTAAGAAGTCCAACGGCCTTTTGTGCCCCTGGACATAAGCTCGCCTTCCACGCCCTTGCTTGCCCCGCCGGCCAACATCTCCGGCGGTCGTCCGTGAGTCACGCCGGGATCCTTAGCATGGCGTGGTGGCTTCAGCAGCGCTCATTGGCGCCCTGACCGCCGGTGGCACCCTCTTCAGCGGGAAGAAAATAGTGGTGAAAATTTTAACCAACAAGAACACTACCGCCGGTGTCCTGCGGACGTCGGCGCCGGCCGCAGAGGCATAGCTGACAGTTCAAGCTCAAAGGCCAAACCTCGGTCTGGTAGTTTCCAGTGCGTAATGAGAATGGCAAAAGAGCCTGGAATGCGCCGTTTTTCAGTTCTTCTATTGATTCTGTCAGGGTTTTCGAGCCAGCGATTTGCAGTGGTTGGGTGGTCCCCCCACGGCGCTGGCTGAGGCGAAATTGGGGTCGGCTGTCCGGTCCAGGAACAGCGGTAGGAACCTGGGAATCGCAGCATTCCTAAATTCCCAATATCGGATTTCGACGGTCGCCGGTCCCCTAGACCTTTCGACGGCTATCCCCTGAGGCAGACAGCTTGCAACATAATTGGGTTCGAGATCATTGATGAAAACCTTGCTGCATGTCCTAACCTCAACCCAGCTTAGCTTATGCACCTTCAGCGGAAGGTTAGTGCATCTTGCTTGCTGCAAGTGTACCGCATAGTATGAGGCTCTGAACTGAGGCTCTCGTTTCTTGACGTCGAAGACACAATAAACAGTGTATGCCAATATCAGCGATTTCCTTGCTCCTCTTGGTAAAACATATGTTTGCTTTTGGTGCATGTGCACTGAAAGACGGGTCTTTTAGATTTAAGACTGCTCAACGACAATGAGCCGACAGCACTGCTTTCTCCGAAAGCAAAGCACCTGGCTTCTTTCCCCTCTATCATTTGACTTCTGAAGCCAAAATGTCATAAAACGGACATGACATCACTCTTGAAACCTCAGTATTTGTAGAGATAGTGCACCACCACTGACTAACTAACTGGACTCTGAAATCTTTCCTGGTCTCTCTCCCCTATTCAAGCGACTACATCAGACATGCTGACGCATGAAATTATGCATATCACCTCTGGACGAGTACTCCTTTGTTTCCGGCAGACCTCCTGGGTTGACTTGCAGACCGTAATTGCCGTCTCATCGTCTTGCAGGGAATCAAATCTCACGTGAGGAGCCATGTTCATCAAGGTGCCTGAAAGATGGCACATAAATAGGCCATTCTGCGAACCTGTTCTCCGTACATCCTCTCCTCGTCAACGAACCGGCAGTCGACACTGAACAGCTTTGAGCTCAGACGTGGCACAGAACACCAAGCATCATGACATGTACCTTTCTTGATCTCCGGTCACTATCCATCTGTCAAAGACTTGTCCGGGACACAGCTATTCATGAATGGCAGCATGCAAAGGGGGTTTCCCTTGCCCGTGGACAACTCAGTCGCTCAACACATATGCCCACGAAGTCACGCTTACTCGGAACACGATTTTTGAACTCTTCAAAGAGTGATGGTATTATATACGGAAGAAAGAAGGACCACTTGGGTCAAATGGTTATAGACAGGAAGTTGTCCTCGCTAAAGGCGAGATGTCTAGGCAACAAAGCAATGGTCAGAGAGAGGCGTCGATATGTACAGCAGACTGCCTCTTCTGAGTCAATGCTCGTGCCCGAAGGTGGGTATTGTTGTTGTTCAGGCGTTTAAGCAATAGTGCACTGGGAGTACCACTCGCTGTTCTTGGTGCACTTGAATCCAGTGCCGCAAGCGGTAGGACCAGTCCAGCCAGAGCCACCGCACTGGCCCCAGGGACCGGCAGCAGCAGCGGAGGAGTCGGAGCTGGCAGCCTCAGTAGGCTGGGCGGCAGCAGACTCGACGACAATGGCCTTCTTGGTAGGGGTGGCGGAAGCGACGGGGGCGGCAGTGGTGGCGGAGCCGTTGCCGGAGCCGGAGGTGGTGCCGGATTGCCAGCCACGCTCACGGGAGAGCTCGTACCACCAGTTGCGGAGCATCCAGCCGTCGAAGTCGGTGATCTCGGCAGCGGAGCCGGCGTTCATGATGAAGCTGGTGACGCCAGTGGGGGTCCAGTCGTAGAAGTCATCCAGGCCGTAGGTGTGGCCAACCTCGTGCATAAGAATGTGGGCGTTGCCAGTAAGAGCACCCATGAAGTACTCACGGCCAATACGCTGACCCCAGTCACCACCAGCACCACCAGACATGCCGTCGGTGAGCCAAAGAGACTGGTCGTAGTGACGGTCAGCACCGGCAGCGCACTTGCTGTAGTCACCATCCTGGTTGAAGAAGCGGCCGCAAGACTCGGCGCACTGGGGAATGCCATCGGCATCAGTGTCGGTGTAGACCTCGATGCCATCAGTGGAACCCTGGAGCAGGCTCTTGTCCTTGACAGCCCAGCCGACAACGTTGACCTTGATGTCGGAGTAAGGGAAGTTGTCGTAGCCGTAGAGCCACTTGTACCAGCCCTGGTGAGCGGTGTTCAGGGCGGAGGCAACGGACTTGCGCTGGGCCTCGGTGACGGAGGCAGTGGACTCCCAACGGACACAGACGTTGATGGTGCCCTTGGTGGCCATAACCTGGTCCCATCCGTAGTTCTTGAAGCCGAAGAAATTGGAGTAGGTGCTCTTGCAGTGGTCCCAGACCTCCTTCAGGGGCGAGGCGATATCAGAGGGGGGGCTCCAGCCGGACTGTCTCTTGGTAGGGCGGTTGCGGGCCATCTCGAGGGGGTTGCGAGCGTTAACGGGAGTGATGGCCTGCCACACGGAACCGTCAAGGTCGGAGGTCTCGCTGGTGACGCCCTTAGCCTGGGCGGAAGCCGCAAGCAGGACAGCCGCGGCGGCGGAGGTGGTAGTGAAACGCATGGTGAAAGTGGTGAACAACAAAAAGATTTACAGAAAAGAAGTGAAGATGTTCAGGAACGAATGACAGTACAACGGGGTTGGTGCTAGGGACCGAACGAAGTTGAATTGAGAGAATATGGAATGGAAGGTCTAGACGGGGTGCGACTTGGGAGAGATATATACAGACGCCAACCCTTTTCTCGTCATTTTCGTTCATCGTATTCATCTGGGCCCAAAAGGAGCCATCCGCTCCACGAGCTAACCGAGCACATCACATTAGCCTGGGTATCTGCCGTATTGGCAGTATTGGCCAAGACTTCAACGTTGCTGCTTTGTTGCTTCTGCCGCCTGCTGTTTCCCCAAACCTCCATATGCAGCAAGAATTGTTCGTGTCGCGGCACAACTCATTGGCGGGAGAATAAGCCTGCGGAGACTGATGGGACGATGGTAGATTAAGGACCGCTGTAAGGGTGGCGTTGGCAGCCCGAGTTGGGGAAGAGATCCTACGGCGCAGAGAGGGGCGTGATGGGATGCCTTCCTATCCTGAACGTTGTGGCCGGACATAAATGACGCCAAGGCTGAGCGGACAATTTTTGCGTGACAAGCAGGTTCTGGCGTCGAACAAGAAGGCTTGGAAAATCCGGGGAAGGGCGCCTATGCAGCGTGAAGGGGGCCAGAGGAGGCTCATCCATCTGCCGTCCATTGGTGCGGCATTGTTTATGGGGAGGGTGAAGTTCACGTTGCATTGATATTTCATCATTCGAATCCATCCAAACATCAACTCTTAGAGGTGCGATCTTAAGAAACACGGAAGCAAAGAAGGTTGTATGCTTTCGGGTCGATCATCCGACACCAACTCACGGAGCACTCGGCCTTCAGGCCAGACGTGAGATGGGCAGAGAGAAGGGACGAAAAGACAAGGAGAGAAGTTGTTTCAAAGCAGGTGAAAGCGAGCAATGGTGAAACACGGCGATAAAATTGCGGGACTGCCATCCAGAAACCTGGTAATTTCTGGAATCCCTGACTGGTCAGCGCACTGCAGGACCAACGGGGATAGCTACTGAATGGTATCTCATGACGTTACATAATCCGGTCATGGGAGGTCGACTTGGCAGCTCCACGCCTCAATTTGGACGAAATCGAGGGCTTCCAGACTCTTGGCATCGGGTCCGTCCATATCACCGGTTGGGCGATTTGCCACGGTAGGCCGGGAGTAGTCCGTGGTCATGGCGGCGCCGGCTCGCTACCACAGAATCATTGCCAGCGTCTGCCTATTTGGTGCACTGCGTCTCGATTGGTCGTCGGAGCGTTGCCTTTGAATTCACGCTGGTTGGTCAAAGTCTTTCGATTTGCGTCTGTAGGTCTGGCAGGACAGCCGCCCGCCGGAGGACTCGGATGAGACGCGGATATCAAGCTTCTGGAAGAGTGACACCTGTCAGATTTCCCATGTTTTGACGCCGCGCCGGCTGCGGCTGCCGGTGTGGAATTTCATCTCCCGCTGAAGCGGTCCTAGCGGTCTGGACATCACTGACGTCGTCAAACGAGCAGCGCAAGAGTCATGTACTGCTGAGAGTCCTGCGACCATTATCAACTTGTCTTATGGCCACCGGTGGGAGACGGTGGGAGACGGTGGTCTGAGCCTCGGAATAATAACGATTGACTTCTAAGTCCAAACTGCTGCCCACGGAAACCGCGGATATGTTAATCTTCTTAATCTGTGCTTTCAATTAAGCATAACCCTGACCACCACTTTCCGAAATCATAGCAATATACTGCCTATGGCTCCCGCTTCGCGTTAGTCTGCCCGTCGGACTTTTTCAGTGCACTCCACCTCGGTTACACTTGCTGCACCTTAATCAAAACCTCAAATGGTCTGGAGCATGCTCCTTTTCAAGACCCTCATCGCAGTGGAATGAGCCAATTGCGTCGTGTAAAGGCACAGGAGATGAGCTGCAGCCGCGATTCAAAGTGCATGGGGCAAACGCGACAAAGATTCACAACCGCAGCGCCTCGCACGCGCCCTACCCCTTAACAGCCCGCCCCAAAGGGATACGGGCTGGTCATCATTAGTCACCCGTCCGTCAATTGATTGAGTTCGTTAACTTGAGGCACGCAAACAGTCGAGATAGACTTGGCAAGACTTTTTGCAAGCAGAAGAGTTGCAAAGCGGAAACTATCGGCTAAGGTATACGAGACTTTACTTCAACATGTCTCAATCAACTGGAGAGAAGTAAGATGATTAGTGGCGGAACAAATCACCACGGTCCACCAAGGAGCACCCGTATTTGATTATCCGTCCGCAATCCAGCGTCGGAAGGGTACATACGTAAGTTCAAGAGACTCAGAGGCGAAATTCGAGTTTAATAAATGATATTAGGTGAGAAGTTTGTATGATGATTCAGTTGGGTCTCTCATGGTTTTGGGCAGTCTCTCTGGCATTCCAGCAACTGCGGATCCCCGAGAGACAGTCGCCGGTGATGGTGATGTTGAGAGTCAGGCCAAGTCAGGTCATAACCGAAAACATTCCTCATGAAAAGGGGCTGGGTCACCACAAGACAGCGAATTGCGAATGAGAAAAATCCCTCAATGAGCAGCCAGCATACTCTGGGCCGATTATTTCTCAATTGAGCGGTTTGAATTGACTCGAGCGGTTCACAAACTCACTCACAAGGTGTTGATGGAACGATTGGGAAGGGCTTGAGACGTTACATGTGTCTGGCGGAAGCTGAAAATACTTCTTACTCCGCCATCCGTTGCAACGGCATGGCGATGGGGCTTTCGGTACGGGTCCTGAATCCAAGCACTCAAGTTGCAAAGAGGGCCGTATCGAAACTATCCTTCGACTCAGCGCAAGCAGTATGCCACATGCGTGCATGCAGTATTGTGGTCGCAGTGTTCGTCCAGTCATTTTCATTTTATTTGCCAGATTCATAATTGGCGACGCATACTATGTTCTACGGCTGATTGTGCTGTCTAGGAGAACCGCGTGTTGGGCCTCGCTTGCCGACCCCAAACTTGGGTGGTTTCGGCCCCGTGGCGGACGATCATCCGGGGCTGTGGTCCGGCATTCGGCACTGGGTACGATGCGAAGAAACCCGCTCAAGCACAGCTTCACGGGAGCAGTAGCCGTCAGTTGAGAGGCCATAGTTTGACAGAAGCTTGGTTACTCCGAAACTGGTCGGTCTGATCTGCAAGGTGACTTTTCGGTCGACGGTGTAAAAGTCCGTGGCATTATTTTGCGACGACAACGGTGATCGCAGAAAGCAGCCGTGTCCAGTGGCCTAAAGAGCCTTTATCAGTTAATTTGGGCAACTGTAAGGAACTTCGAAGGCCGCTCGAGTAAGTCTGCGATTCTTTTCAGCCGCTCGGTTTGGTAATGGAGTCGCCTTCTCGGTTTCGAAGTTGCTGTCATTCCGCGCCTCAGCTTCCCCCAAAATGCTTCATCTCATGTCATGCCGTCTGATTACCGCAAGGAAGCCCCGATCTCCACCACGCAACGCAGATCTTATGGTCCAATCATTGCGTTAAGCGGCCGCCTTTTGCTTCGCACGCCTGAATCTTCAAGGTCCAACCTCAAACACTGCCGTCTGAACTCGCTTTCGCCCGAAGTGCCGAAGGGTTGCGATGATCGTCCTTGCGCCTCAGAGCAGTCTGAGCTCACCGATCTTTTCGGACTCGCGCAGCTCGCGTACAAAAGGCGGTCGAGTCGCCGCAACTCGGCATGATGTACGATTCAATTCATCCCAAAGTCTTTCATTATTGAGTTGAACTCAATTTCCGTCCAAGTTCTGTGAACTTTGTTTCTGACTCTAATACCCACTGTCTTTTTATCCTGTCGCTGTCTCAAACAACGCATTCTTTCGTCGTCCGACCTATTTACATTCTGTCATCCGTTCTTTCACGTCAAGATGCAAACCAAGATCGCACTCGTTGTCTTCTTCAGCGCTCTCAGCGCCTCTGCCGCGACCATTAAGCGCCAGGCTACCGGCGGAGCTGACTTTGGCAAATGCACTCCTACCATGGACTTCCAAACGGGCCGTCCCGGACGCAAGGCCACCGAAGGCACTTTCTTGCCCACCGATCCTCTTGTTGCGAAGGGCCAGCAGGATGCGCTGAACCCTGGCATCATTACCAACCGAATTTGCGACCAGCTCACCAACGTTTGCGAAGCGAACCAGGCCGCTAAGGACGCGTGCCAGGCTGCCAAGGCCCAGGTTGCTTCCGCGGGCACCAAGGATGCCTCAACGGCAACCCTTTTCAACCAGGCTTTGGGATTCAACTAGGCTTGATCGCTAGTTGAAGTAAGAAGTCCCGCCGAAGAGTATTTCGGGAAAAGTGGAGGACTGAGCCTGGCGCCATGACTTATGAATAATCATGCTGTTATGAAGACGACTCTGTCTCCCGGGTGGAGGATATGGGTCAAATCGGGTGGCTTTCTGGCATTTACTCTACAATGTAGGATTGAGGAAATGAGAGACAACCTGCCCAAATTTTTGGATGTCGCTGTCATATTGCGTGGTTGAGTGTGAGAGTTCAAAAGTGATGCTGTACGTTCTAATGATGCACTAACTCTGTACTCTCGAAAGCAAAGTAAGGCCCGTATGTGACGAACCGAAAGTGCACACTTTCTGTCAACTTTACCATCGTCTCTTGACTCTCCACGCATCTCTGTTTTTAAACGTGCGACGCTTAGCGGCTAGAAGCATTGATATTTGCAAAAGCGATTCTTTGTACGAGTCACGACTTCTTCAGCTTCCTGCTCTGCCTACGACTAATTGGTACTGGCTTAACACGAGACCAAAGCTTGTGACAAATGTGCTCCAAATTCATCATCCACGAAAGGTCACCTCTCAGACGACTCCCTGCCGCCAGTCAGCTGCTTGCACCTTTCCCTCAGAATAGACGAAAAGTGAGACGGATCTGATACCATCGCGTTCCCATCGGTGGACCGCGTCGCATCTCCGCGACCCCGGTTCTTGAGGAACATAAACATCGGCTCCATTATTTCCGAAAGTCTGGGTTGTAACTGGCCCTAAGGCTAGAGACAGACAACATAAATACAAGAAGGACGATTTGCCACTGGAAGACCAACCTAGCGACTCGCTGAAGGCTGGTACACAAAGCACTCACAACCGTTGCCTCACAAGCCATCTAGATGTTATTTTCGAGCGGCATTTCTCCCTCCTTTACGTGCGACGAAAGTAAAAAGCCCATGTGATGTTCCACCATAAACAGCCACAAGAAGCTTACAAACGACTTCGCTAGGCTTGGCTCTGTCGAGTTCCAAGACCATGTTCTATCAGGGGTCAGAAAAACATCGGCGCGCGTGGACACTCAATATCACTATCCTTAGACTCGAATAAACGTTCAGAACAAAGATGCAGAAGACAGATGTGTATCAGTCTTAGATTGTTTCCGTTGATTCACTTGGATGCGGTCTGGCTTTGCCGATTCAAGAATACTAGACTTTGACAGAATAGCCGCGCGAAATAAAGAGCAACACGAGGAACCCTGGGGCTAATCGTGATCCTACGTTGTGATAGAGCAACTCCGACATGATCTTAAGATCAAATAATCGTAAATATCGACATGAATTTTACTATTAAGTCGGAAGTATTTTCTTTAAACGTCTCGTATGCTCCTGAACTTCACTGATAACACCCAGGAACATAATGACCTCCAACGGATCCTCATCGCAATGTTCACAAAGGGTTGACTCTCAAATGTTGAGTAATTCAGAGGTTTGAGCACGTGATGGATTTTAATCCTTGCGTATTTAAGGGGCGCTGGCTGACATGGCGTTATCCGAGCTGGAAATACCAGTTGCCGTTAACGTAGTCATGCCACGGCACCAAAACGATAGGCAGTGTTAAACCTTTTAGCAACATGTATCACGGCATCAAACCGAACAGAGCGCACCCCTTGACATCGGGAAATTCTCGACACATTCGTATTGGATTGGCGAAGCTCGACAACAGGGCCCCAAGGCGGAGTACCTGCTCGACGCCTTGACCGTCGGCCACCAACAGCATGTGAGGCTTGTCGTTCAGCCAAAGTCAAATGCAGTGGGAAGCAATACTGTGGAAGATGTGTTACCCGTGGCTTGGTGTGTAAGTACACTTCTCGGGATAGCCAGCTGCAACCAGCGCTCATGAAGTCCCTTCAAGGGAAGGACGGCAATCAGCCGTCGACAGACAGAAGGGGCCTTCGACACACACCGACATCGCAGACTCCAATTCCAAGCACACCGGAAGAATCCAATGGGGCTCTAGATTTGCAAACATCAACGAGGAGTATGATTTGTCAGCCGGTAACTACACTGGCAGACTGCGCCAACGGGACGGGCAATCTCATACAGAACTTCAACTGGGACGGCATGGATTTCAGCATCCATGTGAGTAGTCCACTCGATACTGAGGATAGTATGAGTGGTTCGTGAACTGAATTTGAACTTCTTCAAAACCAGATTTTTGATGCCAGCCTTCCTGAATTTCCTTCTACGCAACTTTTGCAAGGCGGTGGCCTGTAAAACCTTCCGCAGAATGTGGCCGAACTACCTCTACTCGATAATTATGATCTTCCTCCGGGACTTCAGAGCGAATATTCTTCCGCGACATCGGGCGACCACAGCCCTCGAGCGGCTTGTTCGCATCGGCTGGATTTACCTCCGTTTCCAGCAAAGATCGCAGCCGCAATACAGCAGGAGCGACCAGACCTGGTTCTGAAAGTGACAAGAGAGGTCATTAGTTCTTGTCAAGAGACTTTCGACTGCAAAAAGTGCCAAGTCACATGTACTGATCTTCTCCTCATGATGACTGTGCTACAGGAGACGCACCCCTGTTTTGATTGCGTTGCCACCAAGGATCTGGATGGTGACATTGAGCTCAGCTTTGGGGGATACCAAGTCTCTTTCAACAACGCCAGCTTGAGACGAATGGTCGATATGGATCTGGTACAGAGGGCTAGCACGGTACTGACTGCAATCGGTGCCAAAAGTCACTGCATGATGGACACCCTGCCTGAGCCTTGCAGGCAGGCAAGAGCGAACATAGTCTACCTTGATGAGACTATCAGTCACTTTGAAACCATACTTGGGCGAGTAAAAGCCTACGTTCAGAGAGGGAGTTCAGGGTTATGAAGCGACGATTACTTTGGACGGAATATTGCTTGCCGAAAGGGGAATTCGTGATCTTTCGGAATTTTGTCTGCCTTGCGTGTATGCTCGCGACGCTGAGCAGCGCAGACCATGGTATATTCACCCCGGGAAATTCAAAAAAATGCTTCGAGGCTGGAAAAATTCGAGCTGGATTTTCGGAGTCGAATTTTATCGCTTATCAATCCCATGTTAGAGCTGACCGTACTTGGTGGCTGTCAGTCGCAGTCGGGGTCTCAAGACCACTATTACTATCCCTCTGGACCTTACTGCCACTACTCAGTCCGACAGAGATCCTCAAGAGTATCTTCAACATTCGAAACTGGTGCTGAAATTCTCTCCCGAAATCTTATCTCCTCCATATCGTCCGTTCTTTAGTTCACCATGGCAGACTATACGAGCTGCGAAACTACAGCGCCTCCTGATGAAACCCAGACCTCAACCGCCGAAAAGCAAGAGCACTTCCTCATAGCTGGGACTGCGAACAACATGGTATGGGAACAGGTCTTGAGCCAATTCAACTCGAAATGGATGTATCTCCTGAACGTTGTCTTATTCGAAGTTGGGTCAGCTATCTGCGGTTCGGCACCAAACATGAACGCCATGATCATCGGAAGACTCATCTGTTGTATCGGCGGAGCAGGCTGTATGTTGGCGTTCTGACTCTCATAGCCGCCACGACTACCATAGCAGAAAGGCCACTTTACATTTCTGGCACCGGTATAACGTGGGGTCTAGGTACCGTCTTAGGTCCTGTGGTTAGGGGTGCCTTTGAGCAGTCGGCAGTCGGCTGGAGATGGGCGTTCTACATCAACCTGTTCATCAGGGCTGTTTGCGCACCAGCGTACATCTTCCTCCTTCCCAGCGTGGACCCTCGTCCTGGTGTGTCCCTTAGAGAACGTGCGTCACAGCTAGACTACGCAGGCATGGTCTTGCTGCTTGGGAGTCTGGCGAGCTTCATCATGGCCATCAACTTTGGCGGCCTCACCTACCCGTGGGATTCAGCTAGATCATGTCCCTATTCGTCGTCGCTGCTGTGTTGGTCGCTCTGTAGGGAGTCCAGTAGAGATGGGCTGTTTTCACCACCTTGCCCCGTCGCCTGATACCGATCCAACTTCTCGGATCCTGAACCTTTCTCATACTCTTCGCGTCAACCAGTGCCTCTGCGGCTGGGGCCTTCATACCGATCTTTTTCGCCCCACTGTTCTTCCAATTCATTCGAAACGATGGCGCGCTCGATGCAGGAGTCAGACTGCTACCCATGATCATCGTCTTGGTCGTCGCGGTCTTTGTGAAAGGGCTTTTGATGGCCAAATTCGGCTACTATATGCCGTGGTATCTCGTCAGTAGTCTGATCAGCGTCGTCGGCGGTGCTTCGATGTATACGGTCGACCGCAGTAGCAGCCAGAGCGCCATATACGGGTATACCGTCCTCATCGGGTTCGGAATAGGCATCTTTATTCAAGCGTCATTCTCCGTGGCGCAGGCCGTCGTTGACCCGAAGAACGTCGCTTCTGCTGTTGGCTTCATGACACTAGCTCAATGTCTCGGCAACACCACCGCGCTTGCCATTGCCAACTCTCTGTTTTTGAACCTGGCCGAGACGAAAGTTCAGAATATTCTTCCTGAGCGGTCTGCGTCAGAAATTGAGGCGGCTATCTCTTGGGCTGCAGGTGGCTTTGTGCAAAGGCTTGACGATGGTGTTAAGGGGAGGGTTATCGACGCCATTGTAGACTTTATCAGCAAGACTTACATCTTGGTCATGGCTGCTGGACCACTCGTTGGGCAGCTCAGCCTGTTCCTGAAACGGGAGAAGCTATTTATCAATCCCTCTGTTGCCGCAGTCTAAGCCGGGTAAGTTGTGAACCAAGACTGAAGGCATCTAGAGAGGAGTAGGACACAGACACATGGGCCGAAGATTGCTTCGATGGATCAAGCAATGTGCTGTATGCAGCAATAAAATTCAACGACAGAGAGCTGAGATAAGTGACGATACATAAAGCAGCAACAAGAATCATCATTCGACCTTCTCCAAGATGGGGTCATCCAGCTCACAAAACGCACCCTCCTCGGGCAGTGTCCCATTCACGTAGTAATCTGCCGTAGCCATCGCCGCACAGTTCGATGTTCCGACGGAACCGTGCTACCGGAATGTTAGTACTAGTCTCGCAACTCGCTGATGAAGAACTTACCCCGTATCCGTCGACTTGCAGCACCCTGCTACCTTCAAAGGCAACGCTCATGTTCTTCGCCGAAACAAGCGGCCCAAGCGCATCAGCCGTGTTCCCAATGAACATCACCGGATGCCTCGTCTTCACGGCAAAATCCCCAGCATATCGCTCCTTCGCGTTGAGCCTCCACTGAGCGCACATCATCTCCATGGTGGTCTGGATATCGCCAAAGATCTTGCTGCCGCGTTCCTGTCTCTCCATTATGGGAAGAAACTCGTCAAGCGTGTCTATCCGTGCAATCTTATCGCCACATCTGATTTGTAGCTGTGCATCGGATCTTGTGCCGACGCTCTCATATGACGACGAGAACTTGGCCGACGTCTGTGTGAAGTGAGTGTAGTTTCCGGACATCAGCGCGTCCAGAGCAGTTGTTAGAGCGGGCCAAGAAACCGTGTTATACAAAGCGTACAAGATGATCTCCTTGACGACGTTGTAGTCGATCCAAGTGCCGTTGAAAGGAATGGGGCGGGCGTTGAGGTCGTTCATGAGGGCATAAGTTGCGTCTTCGAGCTCTTGGGCGGTCTGGTTTCGGTGGGCTAGGGGGCAAGTGGACGGACGTGCGACACATGATTGGAAGACGGCGCTGAAGGCTTCGTCAGAACTCGCCCATTGCTCGTCGTCCCTGCTTGCATGAGTAAACGGGGTACTTCTGAAGAGAGACGAGAGATACGTACCAGGCGTTGTAGTACTCATGGCCGTTAAGATTTCCGTCCAGGACCATCCTATCGATTCTATCGGGGAACATGGCAGCCGCCGTCTGGCCCAAGATAGTCCCATACGAGTGACCTATTACGTGTGTTTTAGCAGTTGATGTGATGTTCAGCGGGGACGAAACCATACCCCAATATCTCAACAGGCCATCTTCGCCCAAAGCATCCACAATCTGCATCATGTCCCTGACAACAAACGCAGTGCCATACATGCCGGCCATCTCCTTGCTCGTCTCATAGCACTTGTCGACAAGGAGCTTCGTGGAGGCCCAGAGCCTACCTGGAGTCACGTCTGAGGAGTTGGACGAGAAGTTCGGGGGAGTCATGATGGCCCATGCTTTAGGGGTGCGGAGAACGTAATCGTCTATCTCATCTTGGTCCTTAAAACAGCTGAATGGGATCGTGTTTCCAGTTCCACTAGTGGTAAGTCAGTAAGATATGCCAATTTCAGCCGGCCTGTCAAGCAAAGCTTACCGAGGGTCAAACGTGACGAGGTCATGATACTCGCTGGTAGCACTAGCAATTTGGGATTAGCAGCAGCGTTTTCATGGAATTGCGACCAACGTTACTTACTTCCTGTAAACCTCTCCAGCTCCAGCTGCAGCCATGGTAGATCGTCCAGCTATACCAGGACCGCCAAAGTTGAACAAGATGCTACCCTTTGAGGGTTGCCGAGTGGCAGGGATGCGGAGAAGCTGTAAGTCCAGTGTCTTGCTTGAGTTGGGTGAGGTGTAGTCGAGAGGGACCGTCAAGTTCGCGCACTGAATGGGTTCAGTGCTGTTGAACTCGGTACAAGCCCCCCATTCGATTTCCTGTCGGCCGCCGGACGCCGCGTTTGCGCGAGCTCCGTGGAGCAGGAGAAGCGCTGCTGAGAAGCTTCGAGTCTTCATCGCGGGACAAAGAGAGACGTGGTTTGTGGGCTGGTAGTTCAAGTATGAGGTTCAATTAAATTCTGTTGTCGATAGATCATGTCTAGATTCTCGGTCGAAGCTGCCCACGACCCGAGCATTTATACACATCAAAGATGCACCAACAGCCTTGAGGTACAGTTCATTGCGTCAACCATATGCCTTGTTTACAGACTCATTCCTAGAAACGCCGCCGGACATCATGAGAATCGCTTCAGCTCCGACTGAAGAAATGACGACGTGCCTAGCAATATCGCCTTCTCAATTGCCTCTAATGGAATGAGCAGAGCGGGCTGTGCATCTGTCAAATGTACGATACACCTAATTGCCTCTTTGGGGAAAGACGTGAGGCGTCAGACGGGCTGCCGGTTTGCCCAGCACAGCGACTGATTGCCTCAAGCTCCCCAATGTATGAGCATACTGCTTTTACGCGTGTTGCAACAATCACAAATAATTATTGCTCGTCAAGACGTAAAATTCACGTCCACGCATAATACCAGCGCAACTCGTCAACATTTTCTTGAAACTCCGCGAGCCGTAAAACGCGATAAAACTTCGCATTCTTTCATCGCTCCCATCGTCACATTAGACAGTCGAACTCAATCCGAGTCTCTCGAGTGTTCCCCATGCGTCTTTACTCGAAACCGACTTTGGATACCGATATCATTCGGCCGAAACGGCAGCGCAAAACAGTAGTCAGACCAGAAGACCATACTTTCCTTCCCTCGCCATCTCAACCAACACCTATTCTCACGATCACGATCACAGTCAAACTCACTCGAGAACCTCCGCGCACCTTATCCGCATTCAAACCCGTCAATGTCGGCACTGCATCAGCATCACCCACCCACCACCGTCCAGGCCGCCGTCCAGCGTGCGGCATCCGATGCCGGACAAAGGGCTCCATTCGTAGGGAGGACCCGGCAACGACTCCAACCCAGCTCCACCTCCACGTCCCGGCAGAACCCGCCGGTCGGGCGAACGCGCTAACGCATGCATGCAGTTGGCAGCAGCAGCAGCAGCGGCAAGCGCATGCAACGCTTCCCTCCCCTTCCCTTCCCTCTTCTCCAGACCCGTCGACAACCGTGGTAGGTGGTAGTTGCAGCAGGAATCAGGGAGAAAGCGGGAGAGGTGTGGTGCAATCACGGAAAGCGAGCCAGCCGGCCAGACAGCTGCAGCCCTAACGAGAGTTCGGTTTCCAATCAGACAGCGTGGAATGTCAGGATCGATGGTAACCTTCAACGGAGCCCGATCTGTTGGATTTCTGCGCGGCAGAAGGGGCGTGGGTGACTCAACTGTTGGGCAGGGCCAGACTAGCGAATTAGTAGACGGGTAGATGCGTGGGAGGGAATGTCGGTCTGGTAGATTGTCTTGATGTGTCTTGATTCTACTTGAAGATTTGCGATGCGCTCCAAGACATGTCTTTGGGCGGCGGTGTGTGCTGTTCTGTGCTGTCCTGCTGCGAGTTGTGTTGGCGCTGCATCGCGGTCCAATATCAAAAAACATAGACCCAAATTTTATTCAGGTTTGCATAATCACGTCAACGATAAGGTGCGCAAGAGTTACTTTAACTTCTTTGTATTCAATCTTGGAGGCCCATGTCGCTGTGGAGAGGGTGATTCTCACCGCTACTCGAAACAGACACTGAGCTCCACTGATACATGCGTTGCCTCGCAACAATCTCATCCTGCTAACCTGTAGCCACGCTGTTCCAGAATCGGAACGAGTCGTGCGAAAAACCTCCGCTGCTAAATTTCAACCCCGGGTTGTTCGATATGGCGAATGCCATTCGATGCAAAGCAAGCCAAACTCGCGCGGCGTAACAGCCGGGAGAAGATGCCTGGTGCTGGTGATGTGCTGACCCATAAACCTTCTAGATGCGCGAATCATGAACGCTATCGCAGGCCGTTGCGATGGATGCAATAACAATTAAACGAAAGGTGCTGCCGGAGGGATGATGCATATTCCTCGGATTGGCGCCGGTGTTCCCCATGCTGGTCCATGTTCCTCTTTATGACATAGCCGTTCTAGTGAATCCGACCGAGAGATGCAACGCTGACAAAAAACAAACGCCGGTGTACCCAATGCCACACAGGTGAAGACGGGTATTGGTCAAGGGAAGAGAAGTCGATCCACGGTTTGCGGAATGGTGCAGGTGTGGTGAAATGTCGACGTGAAAAGGGTATGTTGAGTGAATTCGAGCGCTCGCGAGGGGTATCGTGGTTGAGGCTGTCTATACCGAAGGAGATGGTAATCGGGAAAGGTGCGCTCAGTGCTTCTTGTCGGAGGAGCCGGTGTGCTGGGCCGACTGGTGGTGGTGATGGTGGTGGTGCTTGTGGGAGGAGTGGTGCTTGCGGACCTTGGGAATGTTAGCCACGTGCTGCTTCGGTTGAGACTGAGACTGAGGCTGCTCATGACGTACCCTCTGGCGACCGCGGTGCTCCTCCTCGTCTGACGAGGTGTTGCTCAGGCGTCTCCTCTCCTCCTCGTACCAAGTGCTCAGCGACTTGCCGCCGAACATGAGGTCATCGTCCTCGATGATGGTGGCTTGGATCCAGCTCTGGGAAGCGAGGTCGACTTCCCTAGCGTTGGGGTCCATGGTGCTGACGTTGGGAATAACGTAGTAGTACTGATCTTGTGCCGGTGACATTTTGAGAGTGGAGTTGTGTGTGTATGTTGTGCGGCTCTGGGTGGAATCGAAGCGGGCGGGTAGGTATGCAAGATGGGATGGAATGGCGGCCCCTTTATGCTTGTTTGTGTACAGGTTGGTGCAGAGAGCAGCGCGTAATGCGTTGATTTCGCGTATATGAGTTGGTTGATTGAAGTGTTTGGGAGCAACCGGGATGATGGCGGCGCGAGTTATTTAAGCGTCTATAGCAGGGACCCTTGAGAATAGAATCAGGGTGTGTGGGCTGGCTGTCTGGACTGGCAGGGAAGTCTGGACCGCTGGAATTCGGGATGACGGCGGGAGGGAGAGGGGTCTGGACGAAAGCGACAAAGAGAGAGGGCGTCGGATATCGAAGGGTCCAGGAGAAGCACAGGAGAAGACGCGATTTCTTTGTTCTCGTTTCTTCAAGATCGGTTGCCGATGGACAGGGCGAGGCGAGACAGCGCTAGGCGGAGAGAAGGCTGGATCGTGGATCACGGAAGAGGCAGAGGGAGATGTGTGTGTGTATGAGCGACGACGATGAGAGCCGAGAATGGGCAGTGCCGGCACTATTATCGAAGTTGGTGATGGGTGGTGGAAAAGCGTCGACACTTTGATTTTGGAGGAGAGAAGTGGAAGAGAGAACGGGAAGAGGCCGTCGTGACGGAACGGAGGCGGACGGCGGCTGGGTTAATATGGACGGGCAGGAGAGAGGGATTGTGGGATTTCCCTTCCCAGGTTGTGGAAGGTGTGGACGGTGGATGGTGGATGCAGGGTACTTGACAAGGCAGGCGACACCCTCAGGCGGCAGGCACAAGGCAGAAAAGCACCTCCCTCAGGCCTCACTCCTCAGGGCCTGCACCTTCTTCCCCGTATTATTTTCAGGTCGCACACACAGAAAGCGCACCTCAGGACCGAGGAAGTACCCAAGTACCTCCGTACCTTCCCTCACTCGCGTGGCGGGAAGGTGTGTGAGTGTGCGAGTGTCGGGTGGGAAAGTGGAAAGTGCGCCAGGAGGGAAGGAGCGAGGGACGGACGGAGGGGGGAGCAGCAGGGGGGGGAAGGGGCAGGGGAGCAGGGGGGAAGGAAGTACAGGGGGTACGATTAAGGGTGGAAAGGAGCAAGGGGATGTCGGTCTGTGCAAATTCAAAATGGTGAAGGTGGAGCCCGCCAGTTTTCGGCCACCTTACGGATGCCTCAGACCGTCATGAGCCACAAAACGGAGCGACGGAAACGGAGACGGATCCAGTCCAGTCCGTCCAGTGAGGCGGGCACTACGTTTGGTGCTTCCACAGCGGGCATCACTACTGACTGCCGTAATGTAATGGTGACAGCTACCACTTTGCACTAGGTAGGTAGGTAATAGAACATCTTCAACGCAAGGCAAACACCACACAGAATCACATCCTGCACATATACACATACCAGCCCGACGCAAAGGGACTGTGCAGGCTGACTATCAGACAATATCTCAATCTCGGTGACTGGGTGACTACAACCACTTGCCGACCACGGTCTGCTGTGCTCTCAGCTGTCTCAGAGCACCGTCAGAACACGCCGTGAGAGGTCCTGTCAGAATGGCGGAGACAGGGGTCCAAGAGGCTGACTGCGGTGCGTGAGATGCACACCTGGCACTGCAGAATTGCCCGTATTGGCGGATATTGCCTCGATACCGCTGTTGCTGATGCTGCCTGTCGACCCGTCGCACCTCAGCCATGGGAAGAGTCATCGACAATCTGTCAGGCTGGCTGGCTGGCTGGCCTCCAGATGCGGGGGTTTCCGGAACGGGATAGGTACCTGAGCGGTACACCCGTCTTCGGTCGTGGTGATGATGGCCTCCGCCGGCGTAAGGCTTCGGTCAAGGCCTGACGCGATGATGTGGCTGTGGCTCGCCCAACCGCCTTGCCGGATGGGAGGACCATCGAGAAACAGACTGCCGACGTGGACGACAGGAAGCGGGAAGACGAAGCGAACCGGCCGAGCCTAACTGGATTACAGATTGCAGACCACGCGGATTGATACTGCCGTAAGGCTCGCCCGCCAGTCTGGACCCCGGGGCTGAGGCCTGGATCGTGGCCGGCACCGAAGCGGTTGAGGGGTTTTTACTGCCGCGATTCTTTTCGGCGGCTGGCTGTCCGGCAGCTGAATGAGCGATATTTCAGATGCCATCGGTCAGAGTGGTATCGGGATAGGGATGGATAGATGCAGGGGAGCGATAATTGACACTGGTTGTGTAAGACGAGAGCGATATATCGGCGAACACAGCAGAGGACACCCAGCACATGGAACGCGGTCTCAATAATAATAACAATAATAAACAGTCATTAGATGAAACGGACGAATACGAATCTACATATTGTCTATTCGTGTTTGCTGATGTTTTTTTTTTTTTCTCGCGATGTCCGGCTCTTTATGTTTCTGGTGTTTTCTTGCTTTTGCGACGCCTGGCTGCGTGCTCCGTTTCAGAGGGGCAACCCTGCACTAGGCACCACACAGTTGGGATGCCTCAAAGCACGAGCATCAGCTTAAATGTGTAGTGAGAGCTTTTCTTCGACCCTAACGGTTCTATGACGGATCAACAGCTATGCAGACTGTACAAGACTGAGGACGACTGCGGATAAGGAATACACCAAGATGATGGGGAGGCGAAATGCTCAAGATGGCCCTTGACGACGATGTTGCGTAAACGGCGCAACAGCGTATACTACGGATACAAGATAAAGGTACAAGATAAGGTAAGATAAGGTATCCACGGAGGGACGCCGAGGATTACAGCGATGATACTGACCAGAAACGAGAGGCCAAGGCAGGGCGGGCGGCGAGTAATGACGCGGGCACTCTGGAGCATCGACGAGTAATTGAGGGGGTCCAGCACCTCAGTCACTGTCACCGTCTGTCACTGTCGCCGCTGTCAGTGTCACTGCCGCACTGCAACGCCGCCAGGGCACCAGGGATGGGGGTGTACTCCAGTCTCCTGCGACGGGTACCACGCACCTCGGCCGACGGCACTGGACTGGACTGCCCCAGGTTTTCCTCGCCCTGGACACTGTTTCCAGCGTAGCTCGGAGGGGCTGCCCCCAGGGCTCGGGCGGGATTCAGGCTTGTCTTGTCACTGCCCGCGGCCTGTGCCAGGCTTGTTCGAGCTTGGAGGGGGCCGCCCCGTTATCCTTAACCTTACCTGGGCATCCGTACATAGGTAGAGAGCAAGCCTACAGAGTCCAGGGCTGCCAGCCAGAAGTCGGATCAGCCAGCATCAGCCAAGGGCCCTGGGCTAAGGAGGCGGCGCAGAGGCAGTGGCCGAAGGGACCACTGGGACCTGGCCGATCAACCTCGCGAGGGAGCTGTCGTGCCGAGCTTGTTGCTCAGCCGTTTCCATTGGCCCCGTTGCAATCCGCGTCGGCCCTGGCGGTCCTAGGTAATGAGCGATCGAGAGGCTGTGAGGCTTCAGGAGGGCGGCGGCGGCGGCGCCGCCTCGGACGGGTTGTCGGGCTGGAGGGCTTCCGTTGAGGTGTTTCTATCATGGTTGGATGGATGGCCAAGAGCCAGTGGCCAACAAATGGAAGTGGAAAAGGCACACTGAGGTGAACTGCTCGCCGACTGGACGGAATACGGAACGGGCGAAACGGGACGGAGCGGTACTTGGTACGGTGGGTGCGATACGGATACGGCTCGTCTGCCAAACACCACCGTCCAATGAACGGACAAGGAGTCCCCTAATTGCAGGCTGCACCACGCGTCCCCAGTTAAAAAGATGGAGACGCTGGTGGGACTCTCCGCGCACGGCTCACGCTCCGTCTCACCTCTTCCACTGAGAAAGCCGCTCACTGTCACTTCACTGTCACTGTCGCGGCTTGTCACTGAGGCGGGTGTCATTCAATCATTGAACGTGTTTTATCTCCGTCTATCGCCCGCCATTATGGATCCCGCTGAATGATTTTTTTGCGCCAATTCTCCAGTCGAGTGGCATCCATCAGAGTCAATCGCACGCCGTATTTCTTTTTCCTGCTCGCAAATCTCACACCTGCAGCTCGGTGTCGCCCATACGGACGGATACCGCGTCCTCACCTGTTGAGTCTCTGAGTCTTGATATCAAATGGTGTCCATGTATATTCCGTAGCTTGCCCGCCGATCATCCAAAAGAACCACTGGGATTCCAAACCTGCAGTCTTGGCTTCTCTTGTCCTTCACCACACACACCCTCACTCGCGCCCTCATCACTTGAGCCTCCAGTACCTGACACCGCGCTGACTCGGGAAACTGATGTGCAAAGCGGTGTGTTGCCTCTTGCTTCTCTGGGCGGAACATGACCGACATCGCCGTCTCACTCATGACACGGCGAAGAAACATTCAAGCCCATCCATCCCTCACCAGTAACCACCATCACGGCACGACACGATACCTCACACAACGTTACTGCTGAAAACCTTGACCCTTCATCTTACGTAGTCCCGTCCCCTCCAATATGAAGCACTTGCGCGGTCGTCTCCAACACGGAGCACACGACACACAGTGGCCACAGGCCCTTTCTCATCTCATCCCTCAGCCTTGGCTCCCGTTTTCTAGGCAGTAGGCAGGCACTTGCCCCTGGCCCTGTGGGCAGCACCCGTCGTCCGTGTCGTTTCTTGCTCCTGATCCTTGGCGGGCAGTGCAAGAAAGGGTCATTCCCTGCACCGAGCAACACGGCAGCGGATACGATCCGTATCGGCGGCCCTGGGCCTGAATATTGCAAAATTGAATATGGAGAACACCTCGGATGACGACCAACTGCGCTATTCTTGTGTGCCCATAACCCATAATCTACAGCTGGAGACGCGGACCCGATATCAAACCAGTTCCACCCCCGGAGACCGATATCCATAAACGCCAAAAACAGAACACAAATCTGTCGATACCCGTCGATTGTCATCTCGCATCTTTGCGCGCCATCCGGGGCAAGACGCGCACCGCTGTACGACATCAAAGTGGACAATGTAATTTCAAGCCAGCCCATCGCCAATAATATC